CAGTAGAATTGGCACAAACAACCAGCGAGACCCTGTCTTTCGCTTTCTTTTTACCTCGAGCCGTGGAGATATCTTCAGACGGCATGAGAAGAGTGTACCTTGGCAGCACTCGATAAAGTAAACCCGTTTCATCCATATTATACACATTTTCTGGTCGTACTGCTCGATTAGTGCATATAGTTCATTCAATGATGCCACTAACTCGAGATCATCTTTGTTTACTTCTCTCCTTCCCCATGCAACAGAATTTTTGCAGCCCTTTGCGTGCTCGGAAACGACTTAACCATTGACAAGAGGCTTTAAAGTCAGTCTCAGATGACCTAGCTCTTTAGCAATTTGCTTTGCTTTGACGATTGCCAACGATGGCGGAACCGGCAAATTGGCGCGGAGCATGCTATCGATCCAAATGTAGAGCTTATCTTCGACTTGCGAAAATCGACCAACAGATGCTCGATACGTCTGAGTCCTGGCTTCCTCAGATATTAAATTGTATCGGCTTTGTATTGTTTCCCTGTTCTTCCAGGTCTTCCTGATTGCACCATCGCTGACGCCATATTCTCTCGCCAAACCTCGTTTACTCGGAGGGTTTGATTTGCTAACTTAGCAATGATCTCAGACCTCTGAAACTCGTTAAGACGCTTCCCTCTGCCTCTGGTAGACAATACTCTCTGAAAGAGGTCTAATAGAGTATGACAGGTATAAGTACGCACCAACCAGTTAAGTGCGCACAAACCGTACCGGATCAATTGGCGTATTTAAGCGGGAGTCTACTGTACTCCATTGCTCCCGGACTTGGAGTACAGCTCAAAAGTGGGTGAGACACGTGCCTATTTCTGCTGCTTTATAGATGGGGTATAGACGATGGGCAAACAGTTTGAAAACAGTGTAAGCAACACTATAATGTCATTTCAAGATTTTAGTCATGTCAAATGCGAAGTGGAAGTCCCACTTTAGTCACATAAATCAGGCAACATCTCAGTATAATTGCATATCCCAACACTGCTTAACCATGACGTCCCTACAGATCGTGTTGTGGTGCTTTTGAACGGTGTGCAGCAGACGGTGTAACAATGGGATGAGATTTTGGAATCGTGGAAATGTAGTTTCTTTGTTATCCTTGGCCTATTTTCTGCCGGTAAGACTTTTGGCGATTCAGAGCGTGTGAGGGTGGGTGGTGCTTTCCGGATGGTAGTATGTGTAACGGCATGCTTACCGTATTATTATTTTACATTTTTATACAATCGTGCACAGCTCAGAAAACCAAAGTATTGTATATAGTGAAAATAAAGGGACTTTGCAGCAGAGGGGTTCGTCAGACATGTGAGCTTTTAGTCTCCCGTCACGCAATACATGGAGTTTTTTATCACATATGGTGAAACAAATATGTCTAGTGTTAGTTGAGACGATTTTTTATTCTAACACTTTGTTTTCTTCTTCAGAGAAGGAGTGAAAGAGATTTGACAATTAAAAACTTGATATCAATCGTCAGAAAACTTTGCAGAGCTTAATTATCAAACAATTAGAAGAGAGTAAGTACTAAGCTGTTTGTTTTGCTCTCGGTTCCGCTCCTGGGTGAATCAAATGGATTCAATCTCTGTGCGATGTTAACGCCGACTCTTCGAATCAATGTTTCCTCCGTGTGGATGAACTTGATAGCACTAGTCGCCAATCCGACTACCTAGTCTTAGTGAGGGGGTGGACTACGAGCTATTCGATTAACGTCTATCGGGACAACAAGAAACGCTAAGGTAGCTCATACCTATCATGGGCCCCGACGGAGTATGATAGCCGGCGTCCAGGGCCGGGAGCGGAATCACACGTCTAAGGTCGTTCACTAGCAAGAGTATGCACTGGTGAGACACTTCAAATTCCTTGAGAACAATGAAAAAATCAAATTGGAGAAGGAAAGTCGAGCTGGTCATTAATTTGGCCATGCTCATATTAGAGTTTTAGCGCAGTGCGCTAGCGGTCTCCAAGCTATTGGGCATTAGCTCCGCTGGAGAGAAATTCTCGATATAGGTAGCATAAAGCAATCATGTCGCGAGTGCTCTAATGTGTTATACAGACGCTCCGTTTGCGCTCGTGATTCGTCTTCCCCCGTCCAGGTATGCGAAAATTAGCCGAATATACTTAAATTTTGCAAGCTGTCATTGTCGCGCTGATGACAGACCCTCTTCCGGGGGTGGTAAGAGCTACAATTTTGTTGAGGCTCTCAGAACTGGCTCGATTCGCAACGAGCATCTGCATCTGCCCAGCTCCGTTAGAGGTATGCGGTGGGTGCTGCATCTTAAATTGAGTATAGCTTTCGCGCCGCGGGAGTTGGTCAAAAGACTGAAGGTAGAAGCTCCGCGAGTGCGCCCGAACGATGGAGCTTTGCCGTGTTAATGAGTAAATGAGTAAATGATATATTAGTTAGCCGCCAAGTAGCACCGAGAACGTAGAGATGCTCATCGGTGGTAAGATCAGAGTGGTAAGATCGTCTTTAACGCTTTAAATGTTTCATTCTACTGCTACTGAGAGGTATGTAGGGTCAAGGTCCCCCACACAGGGCCGCCGAAGCCTCTCGCGAGGAATCGTCGTGTCTCAGTAGGCCGTCATGCGCAACTGAGAGTGGTCTGGTTTCTTTTTCATTTTACGAGATCATGATTAATAAAACTCCAACTTAAAGAGGGGTGACTCTATTCAAAAGGAATGGGAATTGCATCTCAAAGTTGTCAACAATAACATCTCGAGCTTGTGAAAGCCGTCAAAAGCCCTGGCAAATGTGCGGTGCGCAAATGTCAAAGATACTAGACAGTACGCGTAGGCATTAATAGCGCCAGTTACGGGCCGTGAATGATGTAACAGAATTACCAGAGAGCGTGTCAAAGAAATCTGTTGAACCTTTCCGTAAAAGTTATGGACTTTGAAAAAGTGAAGCATTTACCTGTCCTGGACTTGGATTTGTGACATGATACTGCTATAGTTATGGAGCTGTCTGAATGTCATGTGCTTTGAATCAAGTGGCAATCAAGATCTTTTGGTGCGACGCACCTTCCTTGATCGGGCTTTGATTAGCAATAAACCTACCTCATCAAGAAAACGCCAGCACTTTCTGCGCGGCAATAAGACTACGACAGTTTCGGTCAGTACATGAATTCATTCAATCGTCGAGCGAAGGTATTGCTGAGTGCCGTGAGCTCTAACGGCAAGAGTAGAAGTGAAGCACGATTTTAAAAGAGCGATCGCTCATCGCTGTCTCTAAATATCTAGTGTGTGTCTATTTTTGATGAATATGCGACGATAGATCGTGGCCAACAAAGTGTACCTTTGGTTGAACTTTTATTGCAGCTATAATCTGGGCATCTCTACAGGAGTCATTGAATATTAGTATGACCAGACTGTGTTACTCAGTCTAGCCAGTAAGACCAAGTATGAAGGCTGCAAAAGGACCAGGCTTCAAAGTTATCAAGGAGTAACAAGACGGAGAATACATGGAAATGGTACTATCAGTACCAATCAGTACCGATGGAGGAGGTTAGTGTATGATCCTTATGAATGATTTTGATAATCACTGCCCTCATAGGGCAAAAAGCGCAAGGTGTGGTCTAGGGTCTCTACCCCAGACATTCAACGGATTTCACATCTCCGATATTTTATTGCTCTTACGACATGTTGCCATGAGACGTTTAGCGCCTGTCTTTCTCCGACCCGTGGGTAGTTTATAAAATTGACCTGGTTTCAAGAGCTAGATCATCGCATCACAAACAGCGAATCCAAAATTGTGGCGTCTATCATACTTTCTTCCATGCAAAGCAAGACAAGAGCTTGGTGAGAAAACATGGCAATTTGAGTTAGTGCCAAATGTCTGTGTCAGAAAGACCGAAAGCAAAAGTTGACTTGTGCATTTCTAGAATGAACGACATGCAGCCAACAGCTCGGTGAGAGGGCCAAGACACTCCGTTAATTCTAAAAGATAAGGAAAATTTGATATGCGAGGGTCGTTCCTCTTTGCCCCTTCAATGATCATGACGAGATGCGGAAAGATTTGCGGATCAGCGTAATTATCAGGGCCGATTGCGGACAGCTCGACTACTGCGCCATCTAAACCTTTCAGGACGTCAGTTATATGCTTTACATTTGAAGTGTATCCTCAACCCATGTGCCTCAATCTGTAATAAAGAGATAAGCTCCCAGCGTGGTATGGATGTTGCTGGCTTCAATTTATGGAGAAAAACATACAAAGCGAATGGCTTGTCATCTAGCACGGTTGCAACGGTATGTATACGCTCGCATTGTGATCCTTCGTACTTGATGCGATGCTCGGTGGTAGTGCGTGGTGGAGTACAGAAATAACTTAATACTAGGTACAAAATTAAAGATGTCGTGTACTTTACACAAAAAAGCTTTATCTGCGCGAAAAACATTACCGATATGATTTCGTTTAGTCCACCAAGATTGGAAAAGAAATCCTTTCAGATTACAAGCTTACTCTTTGCTCATTAGTAACCTGTATCTATTTACGTTGGAGTGATGTCTTTACGTATCGACAAAAACAATTTTGCCCATGTGTCCTGCTCACCATTCTTTTCTGGAGCCTTGTTCCTCTCATCAAGTCAAGACTGCACATGACACTTCACCATAATACTCAACTCTCGTACTTATAATTTTGGTTTTAGGTTTGGGAGACAATACTCTCAAAGATAAGATGTATGCTGGTTCTCAAATGGTACGCTCCTCGTTGCTAACCAAATGTGGACATACACTAAGTTCGCACCCATCTTGTCATTTCAAGACACCGCACGACATTGCATGCCCCCCAGGTGCCGAATTCACCGGGGTTTTTTCGATTATTGAACATAACAGTACCTACTTCTGCGAGCACCATCCGCAAATATAACGTTTGTCTCTGAGTAGTCTATATGGCTCAACGAGCCACTATCAGTGGAGCACCACCCCTAGAGCAGTTATAGACACTCTCCAGTTTAAAGAAGCACTATCCCAAAGAGAAACATACGTCAAAGACTTCACCACCGATGAGACCTCGACTTTCCTTTGTACCCCGCTGCACTCGACGACCTTTAGGTAGCTGTTTCTGACTTAAAAGTCACGCTTGTCCGTCCACAAAACAAGATCCGACGGCTTTTGTAGACTCGATCGCGTTGTGATGATAGAATTTTTTCATCCGATGCTGCTTGGTGCGCCAGGGCGACGGAATTATATGCCTATGCGCGCGGACCCACTGCTCAAACAGAAAAGCAAACAATTGCCCTAATTTGCTCCGCGAGTGCCTTTTGATCCTAAATGTCACCATTCCTCATTAGCACTGCATGTGCTTGGAGCAGCTGCGGTCTGGTGAGCCCGTACGCTTCATGACAGCGCTGCATGCTGGCAAGAGTGCTGAAGACTATTGTTCTCAATTTGCACACTGGGCGAGAAAGACGCATTACTTCGACCATTCATCAGCTTCAGAAGACAGCTTCAGTAAAACAGAAGTTTGATAAGAGCGTCTCCATTGCTCGAGGTACAAAGCACGACGTGGACGGCGAGGTAAAGACTCATTGCCGCATTTTGCTTAAAATTACCCCGCTCGTCCCATAAGACAGCATTTGAAGACAACAATCAAGTTTTGGACTTAGAAAAAAGTCGGATGTCGCTTGTTTATGGGGAAGCGCGCCACACCAGGTGACCCTGCCATTTTTCGAAGCAAATAAAATCCGAGGGTGCGCCAAGTTATCTTTTTCTCTTCGTCAGGTTTGGTGAAATCCCTGGTGCGTCCGCCGGCACACGTAACGTTCCACGTTAAAGTGGTCCGCTTTTCGTTCATTTTGATCCCGTAAAGAATGCTTTGACAAATTACTGGTGGCAGGCTAAGCTCTCTCGGTGATGGCGCCTTGCCCACTCTCTCCGAGAAACGGTGTAGCCAAAACTTGAATCCGCTGTGTGGGCTACCGCATCGCATTACGTATCACCAGCGGTTCAGAACCATGTTGTTACCTTGACGCAGTAAGAAGCTCGGCTACCGTGATAGTAAAAAATCCGTGTCGTCGCCAAAAAGCGCACTACGTTCAACCAGATTGTAAGCAAGGAATCGTGACATGGCTCTGTCGAACGCAATTTGAGCACGAAAATGTGTTTGCATTTTCGCTATAATGTTGATAATCTAGATTAATACACGTTTCGCTACGACCATGAGCGGTGTAATGAAGCGTGAATGCAGCAGAGTCGAATCGTCGGTAGGCATTGCATGTGTATGCAGGTTAACAGCATCTATAGCAAGTATCCCCCAGTACATAATAATGTCCAATTCGCCTGACTCTGGCATCTGGAAGCTGCTTTTTCTCACGGAGCTTTCAGCCATAGCGTCGCGCACTCGGCAAACAACGCTCAATCTCATAAATGAGCACCTATGATCTTGTTATGAAGCGTAGCTGGGCTGATGCTAGCAAGATGACGCCTTCTTCACCAAGCCGAACTGACTTGGTGGCGGTGTCAAAAACACACATGGGGGTTACCACATCATTGTTTAACAATGACGTTAGGCCTATTAAGACCTGTAAAGCGTTATCTAACGCAAATTAATGAATATAGAGCAACTCGCGTCAGCACAGCGATTTGTTTGCGCAAGCGTTTCGAATGAAGTCATAGTACGTTTCGACTGAAGCCAACTACCCTAAGTCTTCATGTAATATGAAGCCTTACACCAGGGACGAAGCTTGCACTTTGAACTGTACATCTCTATCCTACACAATGGCTACCGCAGTTAATGCTACCAAGGAGCTTTGTCGACAAGAGGCTGTATTCTCACCATTAATGGAGTTGCTGATAGAAACGAGAAAAAATGTTTGCTCGAACGTTCCGCAATAATAATAATGCTTAGAAATAGGATGCTTATTTTCTCAAGACTTAGCAGTCACATCTCCTGAGAACACTCTGCCGGTACCCGCAGGCTATCAAAAGGCGTTGACGTACGGTGAAAGCTTAATCTGCTGACACTTTTCGCACGTGCGCACATAAGGTCTTTCTTATCCACTATTCCATGCTCGTCTCTCATTCATAGCGCTGTTTTTTTCTATATTTCGAGGTGGCCACCCCAAAAGGCCAAGCCATTCTTTTTACATGAGGTCCTTACCATGAGGTACCCTTACGTTAAGTGGGTCAGTGCTAATACAATAATCATTGGTGGTACAAAACGCGCGACCAAGCGCTTTGATTTAGCGGCCTCAAGTTGTTGACTTTCTTTCTCTTTCAGCAGCATTACACATGCTGCATCTAAATCGAAGACCATATGTATTGCCTGATCTCACCATCGTGGTATTAAATCAACAGTTTATAGTCATATCGATGCGAAAGCGCCTTCAACACATTTCAATTATCCAAATTCAATATGTACCGGGAAGGAAGGATCATCATCTTGTCATCTTCACAACGTTCAACCGTGCATGATGTCTATAGATCAAATGACATAGAGCCAAGCAAGGACTTCTGAAAAATGAAATTCTGATAAACTAAATAGCTTTCTGTTTGTCGCTTTGAGGTGAAACATTATGAATGCAGTAACGCTTTCAAGCGACCACTTGTTCCTTAGGCTCATTTCGAACAGCGATACTGACTGATACACGATAGTGTTCACTTCCGCTGGATCTGCCCACTGACCACACTATCTAAAAGTATTAAACTTTCTTCGTCATCAATGCCACACTTGCCTTGATTGGTATACTGTCGGTTTATGCGCATACCGTCAAGCACTGTTCAGACGTATTCATCTTTGTATTGGTATATATTGCAAAATAGATTTGTGCATATGCTCGATGTGGTTAAAACACTGTATTTAAGACGATTTGTTTTCAAACGTTGCCGATGCAAAAGGCAAAATTTAATACCCACGTTTAGATTACCACGCTTCAAATTTAACTGCTATGAAGTGATGTGTATATTTATCATGATCACTTGATAATATTGAAATAATATAAATAGATCAACGAGCAAGATGCGACCGATCATGGTGTTCCTCCGCTTGTTGCTTGCGCCAAGATGATCACTATATAGCTTATCACAAGGATATACAATCTGTCGCTTTTTTTGGCACGTTGGGTCGCGCCTGGTTTGAATTTTTTCCTCACCAAATCCGCATCGTGCATCTCCTAAAACAAAGCGTCTATAAGGACCTACTGCTCCCCAGGTAAGATCATTTGATGTGAGATATACTGTTTTATTCTAGGTATTAGGGCAATTTTGACGCACTCCCCAACAAAAGAGAATCACGCGTTGTAGTTAAATCATCGTGACGCTGTGAGGCTCTCCTAACTCCGGATAAAAAAAATTCTTGGGGTTGTTGGGATCATCGTTTAGCTTCTCGCACTTTGTACTTTGCGAGAGTTCTGAAAGACAAACAATACTGCTGAGACAGTATCATTGCGTGACGCGTCCACGATGCGCAGCACAATGGCTTGTCAAGTTTATGCCGAGAACTTCGTCACTTGCAAATGGAGTGATAGTGTGTTCCTGGGGAATATTTTTTTCTTAAATTTCGTTCGGCAGAAGCTTTCATTACTACGATAAACCTTTGAAGATTTTTGCAAAGCATTGCTAGATGGTAATTTTATGAAAATGATATGATTGATATCTAAGTTAGAGCTAAGTCGCATCATGACAAGGATGAGACCTCCTGTTTAATTTCAGAACTGGCTATTCTACTTGCCACTAACAGTCGCTTTCAGTACCTGATGTTGCTTAGGATGTAGCGACACTAAGCCGCTTTGATTAGTCTTTGCGAAATTGACCGCTGGTGATTGAGAAACACGCACACCCTTGTACGTCTTACCAAAAATTACGGCTGAGGAATCAGCTTATCACCGTGATCAAACATCTCACCAATTATGCACTCTCAAAAATACGACATCTAACCGCTACCTCTCGTCTTGCCATGAGACTGCAGCTGACAGCGGCTATTTTAATCAAGCGGAGCTTGATGCACTTAAAACGCATTGTTGATTTATTTGAATAGTCTCATTTCCTGCGCCACAGCTTCATCCCCACGACAAAATCTCTTGTGCTTTCTAGCAGAGGTTAGATGATGACTCATTAAAGCTCGACGATATAAAAGGGCCTGGCTTTTAACATCTTCGCCTTCCAGTCAAATCATGGCACATGGCATTTATGCCACGCCATTTCTAAGGTGAGATTGAACCAGATCGTACCATGAGTCCAGGTCAAAATCAATACAGCATTTCACAATGTCATAGCTCTCAAATCGTGGAGGGAACTTCAAAAAAATTTAAGATATTTTAATAGCTGCCTCAATTGCATGCGTAGAGTCTCCGCGTACTACCAGCTGTGGTTGGTGGTTGCGTGCCGTACGTTAGTGCACGTCATGTGTAAATGTATCCGGGCTCTTTGCAATCTGAGAAATTGAAGCTGACAACCAGCAATCCTGAAATGTGAACCTACATCTCTTGAGACAACCGCGCTTTCAAGGAGTTGTGCCCCGTTAGCTTTGACTCTAAAATAGGACGATGCAACAAGATCATTTCCACGAGGTCTCTTTGTATCTACCAGGGTTCGTGCTTTCTCTACGAGACTCTATCGTCTCTGCACAGGAGTCCGGCGCCTTGTATTGTAATCGAGAGTAAAAGGAAGCAGGTATTCTGTACTGCCATAAAATTGAGACTTGGCGGGCTGCAAGATGCGGCTCGGCAGCCAGAAGATCAATCTAGCTCGACTAAGGCCCAACACATTTAGTGCGCTCATTGAATCTTCATCTTTCTTGTTTACCGGTCTTGCTGCCTGATAGTTGTGCTTTGTATTTGATGCGATGTCCACCATTCCTCAATAAGCATACCGTGATATGGATTGTCTCGTTTGTCCGCACCTACTCGGAGACCATTCGTAAGGTCGGCTGGTGCTGTAGTAGTTCTCCGGTTACGTTGGTGACCCCTGCGCATATTATATTGGTTCTCTGCAGATGATAAGCCTGATTTGGATTTGTGAAAACCTAAGGCATCAGTCTCTTTAACGCCTACCGTAATGAAAATACCTCTTTTACACATTATAGCGCCAGTTATTACCTTCGGACTCCAGGCGTTAGCATGTCGCGCTGTTGCTTTGTTTGGAAAATATATGGCAATGTAAAATTTTCCTTATTTGGAGTGGGAATTTCCGTGTTTCGGCCTTCTTGGGGTGGGATACTTAGCATAAGTAATCTTGTTGAAAAATTGCTTACAGTTGAGCCAGAAGGAAGTGGGCGTGCGTGTGATGCGACACCTCCTATTTGAGTTCGCCAAACTCAAGGCACGCCGTCGACATCCTTCGGATAGTCGCCCTGCGACGTATGGGTCAACCCCTTATGCTTTGTGTCTTAGACCGCAAGAGCTCAGGGCCACTGCTTGAGCATAGCTCATGGCCTTTCTACTTCCCTGGCTAGTGCCGGAAAGCGCGGAGCGTCCTGATCTTTCTGATCAAAATCGTCCACAGCGTCTGGGCAATCTTGCCGGAGTGGCGTCTCAAACTCCCACGAGTTTTCGGAGTCGGGATATCCCGCCACTTCACCAGATATTGATTAGGTTTGACCCTGGTGATGACGTTGTATCATTAGACGTTCTACGTAATAGTGGACGTCACCGTTTTCATCAAGAAGAGTCGGTGGCGGGCGGTGATGAACG